ATCGTACATCATAGTAAAAATATTAGTTAGTACCGTACATGATAAGCCAACTTAGCAACCAAAAAAAAAAGTGACGTGCCAAAGAGCACGTCCTACATACCGGATGCAATATGCAGTCGTCGAACAACACAGCATGAATAGTTTCGTTCCCCATTTGTGTGGCTTATCCTTCATATACACTCTCATCCGGTTGAACGTTGATCTCGAAGGCAACATAGCCTCATCGAAGGCCATGATTGATGGAGGCGTGTATCCTGCTGCGAAGCGGTTCTGCAGAGCGTCAATAACCGGTCGTAGTTTCCACGCCCTATCTGTTGCAGCGCGTTCGTCCCCGTTTCGGCTAAAATGAAGGTTCCTCGAGAGATGCATGAAGCGATTTCGAGCCATGAAAAAACCAAAACACCCTCGTGGAATTGCCCCCTCGTCCGTAGTTCTCCAGTGATGCGCCAATTTCTCCTTGTTGGGAACAATTGATCTTGCAATCAATAAACCCAAAAATACACAAAGCTCTCGAGGCGTAATGTCCGCGGAACTCTCCAACTCGTTCCGTAGCTTTTCTTTGCTCTTTGATTTGTAGCCAGTATTCTTCCGCTCACGAACAACTTGTTTGGCATGAAGACCATCCTCTTTCGTCAATATGCTCTCTGAAGTACGTGTTTGTCTCCTCAGCGATTGATTTCCAGAGATCTGGTTGCATATAATAGAAGAAGGCACCGGATGGGGTAGCTGCAGCTCGAATTGCCTTGTCGGTGGGCCCTGAAGCTCCTTTGTACAGGTTAAGATAGTCATCATACATAGCGGTAGCAGGGCGAGGCTCATACGGTTGCTGCAAGTATTCGTATGGTGTTGTGGTCGCTACGTCGGACCATCCTGTGTCCGCCATCATCTTCAGAAATGTGTCTGACAAGGAGCCCGATGCGATATTCGCCATACCACCGACAGCAGATACCAAATCACCGTCAAAACGTAGCTGGGGAGGACCGGGTAATTGAATATCAGCCCCGGAAATATCCTCAAGATGATCCTCACTCTCATCATCTCCATCGTCGTTTTCAGCATCAGAATCGAAGGTTTCAAACACCCGGGGGTCGTCGGAAGCTTCGACGAGATTAGCGTCTGCAAGAACATCTAGCATTGAATATACAAGTTATATAAATTTTCAAACGTGTATGTACAGCTTTGACCAACCTCCAGTAGAGACATCACAAATTCCTGAGCCTCCGTTTGACTCTTCATCCGCGCTTACTGCAGGTGTGAAATCATCACCTTCTGAGTCCTGGGCATCTTCTGCTGCGTCATGCGATGGCTCACTACCGCTGTCTATATCGTCAAACTCCGATGCAAGGTTATGTTGCCTTTTAGGTGACGGATCTACAACAGTATATTCACGGTCAGGCCAGCAGAACCAAAGGCAAGCAGCAACATGACGTGCACGAACCAGCTGTGGCATCAGAAATGGTCATGTGTGGCGATGCCAGAACTACTGCAGACGCTTTTGGTGGAGCCTGCACCTCTGGTGGCGGTGTTCGCAGTGCTGTTGTTGTACATGATAATACCAACATACACGATTAGTTAATCTCAAAACTTGTCGAGTACATGACAGTTACCGTCGTTTGTGGTCGTCATGGCTTCTGCTGCGCGCTTCTCTGCAACTCTCTGTGCATTCGCAGACCCTTCTCGACTCGCTGTCTTCTTTGCCTCTAGTGCAGCTAATCTCACATCAGCGTTAGAATAAATCAAAAATGAACACCACTTGCATTTGCCTACCAATGTCCATTTTGTCCAGGTACGTCATTAACTCCTCCTCTCCGACGAAATAGTCCTCGCCCCGGATATCCTTCTTCGTCTTGCTCGGCTTCAGATAAGTGAAGTCCACCGACAGGCCTGCCGGTTTCTTCGAGTGCCAGCCAGCTTTCTTGAGCTCCCGCCACCTCGCCCGGAACGCCATTACCGGCGACGGCGTGAGTTCTGCGTGCTTCGCGGCGAATCTTCAAATGAGAGAAAATTGAGTGGCGACCAGTCTTTTCCTTTCGTAATACATATGCAATTTGCAAGTTTGATCTGTTGTGTACTTTCTTTTGAAAATTTGGCTTTTCTAAAGCGCATATTTATGTCGATTCTGCAGGAAGTGTGGATAATTACCTACCCCTTGTTGACATGAAGTTTGTATTTGCGCATACAAAAACTAAGTACAATATTATCTAACTTGTATGGTCCACGTTAAGATTTTTCACGTAACATGTACGGTCCAGGCCACGGGTCCCAAGGGGTTAAGTGTGGGAGGGTACAATTTCCAGTGTGCCCCGTGTTACATAAAGAGTGACCCGTTACCCTTGTGGACACCTGGTACACGGTACCAGGTGCTCTCGGAGCCATGACTACTTAGCTCCAATATAGGTAACCTCTAGTTTGTATGAGACCCAAGCTTATCTTACTTATAAGTACATCAGTCTTAAATTTACTCTTCTAAGTAGCAAACCGTTCCCTTTGAGGCCGGGAACACGTGGACTAACGCTCACTCGGGTAGTTAATATCCTTAAGCACTTCCTCTGTGCAAGGTGCTGTGTGACCCATCACAATATACTTACCCTGCGCTATGAAAAAGATGCATTTCCTGCCGCCACCCCTGCGACGCGAAACCGACCAAAACCTCACTGAAATAGCTATTCGGTGAAGCAACAGTAATGGGAGTTTTTTTTAATAAGTAGATGTTATTTAGTAAACTGTGCAATATCTGCCCAATTCGATAAAATTAGCATCAGCTGACGCAAAAAGTGAGGTGCGCAGTAAGAAAATGACTCCTTCATGTATTAATATAATTGAAGGTTGTGGATGGAAACACACCACTCAAAAGAAAGGTTGTGGAAAGATTCAATTTGGAAACACACCACTCACTGTTTAAACACTGACGCCATCAAGCATTTTCAGCATTCGCTTGTTGGAAGATTTATGTCGTCAATCGGAGCAACATTTGTGTTTCGATGACACCTCAATGCAAGCCTTGCACGCGGCAACGTGGCGTCTATCAATTTGACGTGCGAGCTGTTGCACAAAGCGCTTCAACGAAGCGTTGTGGTCACGGTGTCCTGTTGAAGAGGTTCACGTCGGCATTTATGGTATCGAAATGGACACAGCTGTGTCCCAAGTGTCTGCTGAAACACCAGCTGATCACCAAAATTGCGATTGCAAGTTCCCCCAAGCCCCATGGATTCGAGTTGTTTTCAGTATGTGGCTTGGTATGCGAAGCCAGGGTACTAACGCTTCCAACAGCTCCTTGTTTCACCCAAGACGGCCGGCCTCTTAGAGGCAGTACGTGCACCGTTGCTCACGCTGTATACATGTATTTTAAAAGCCCCACTTGTTGATGCCAATATGCGCGAAATATTGTGACATATTGGCTGTTACGAAAACAATGTTGCGTACTGTACGGTACTGGTAGAATGTTAGAATCATTTGAGTAGCAATGCCGGCCATGTCTCGATGGGGAGTTTCGACCTCACTATTTGAAAAGACTGCCTACACGAACATGGCTCTGCGACTATCACAGCATGTTTCCAATTTGCGCGCATGTACTTCGAAGTATTATTTAGAAGGCCATGCTCGTCTTGGAAAGCCTTTAAAAATGGATCGGCCGGCACGTGTGTACTTTCAAGCCTTGGGCCTGTGGATTCTACATGGTACTTCAGAAGTATAAGTGGAAAATGGACAATCGATAACCGACCAGGCGTGATGGTGGCTATCTGAGCCATGCAACATCCGATCCAAGGATGTTTCCGGATATCTAGGATCGCACCTGATCAAACAATGTCCCCGCAAATGTGAAAATTGAGGAGTTCCTCATAAGCCGGTCTTCAATTCTTAAGTTTTCCGATCGTGGAGAACACCAAAATCTCTCGTTCCGATTGACATTATGTGAGGCCACATTTGGTGCGGGCTGAAAGGATCCATCGAGGTTATCGGCGCTGTAGGTGACAAGTTCCAAAACTTTGGCAAATCGTGATGGAGACACTGTGGAACGGCTTTCATAGTCGGGGTCAACCAAATCGCAGTTTCTGTCCGTTACTTGGCCCAAATGATTTTGACAAAAAGCTTTGTCTCTTCCACCTCAATCGACTGTCGGAGGTAGCACTGACAATGCGCCCACAAACTTCGAGTAATGATCGATGCCTTTCGATGCACGGGGCAGCGCATCGTGATGGAGGGGTATGCATTTTGTAGCACGGTTCATCAGACCGACGGCATTGTTCAGTCTGTAACAACGTCCGCAAACACAAGTGTGTTTGCAAAACTGCGAGGGTTACAAAAGCGATCGATCAGTTCCGAATAGGCTGCACATCGGTGTCCAAGAAGATTGTCCGACACGTTCACGGCGACGTCGTCGAAGTCTGCTCTCGTTCACGTTGGCGACAAACTGGATCAGTTTGGATTCGGACAGACGTGAGCGCAACATGGCGCGTCGACGTCGCGCTCGGCCCGGGGCGTTACCGGTAGTCGCAGTCGTCTTCGTGGCGATGTTAGCAGAGATCGTCGCTTCTGATGCTGTGCAGCGGGAACTGACATTGAGCTTCACCTCCGAAGCACGGTCAGGTTCCGAGCTGCCGACAAACGACTCGTTCGTCTTTGACGGCACCTCATCCGACATCGCTCGACAGCTATACTTGAGGCACGCAGCAGGCGAATCCATCGATAAGTGCGTCCCTAATACGCTCCCGGTCGCTGTCACGGCGCGACTTGCACCCTTGAACGTGTCGTTCGACAATCTACCAGGATTGCTGCAGAGAGCGCTGCTGTGGGATTCGGGATACGTGCTCTCGCCGGAGAATGACGCGGTCCAGATTTGGACACTCGGAGGCCGATCCATGGCGAATCTGGCGATCTCCAGGGTGGAATATGACACGACAGGATGTACAGCATTGAACTGCAGTCAGCCGGATGATACAACCTACTATGCCAACAATTTCTGCACTGGGACGCAGATGCTGACGGCAGCCAAGTGTTTGATGGACAACTTCGACTCGGACACGAGCTCGCACCTTGCAATGTGGTCGGACGGAGGAAATTCCGATTCGACTCCGGAGATCCGAGCGGTGATGCATGGATGGCTGGACGCGTCCACAAATGACTCGTACTTGCTGTATGCTGTCCATACGATGACGGTTGACTCGGAACCAGCGTATGGAACGTGCAACAAAGGCGGCTATGGCTCTCTCGTCGTGCCGTGCTACCCGCTGAGTAACACCTCGACCGACATCGTGGCCGTCATGTCGGTGCCCGTTGCTACGCCGTGGGTAACAACATGGATCAAGCAGTATCAACCTACTTCGGATACTACAGTGAACAGCGAGTCCGACAGCGACGGCAGCGGGTTTAACCTGTGGCTGCTTGGCCCGATCCTGCTTTCAGCTCTGATCGCGTCCATATTGATCGCCTTCGCTGTCTTCAGGAAGCGGCGACGACTGCGATCTGTCTACTTTCAGCGTACGTCTCCTGCAGAGAGTGACCTCGGCTCCAGTAGAGAGTCCAAGCCCTCAGGTCCTCTAGCTGCGCCTCGCCAACGAGAAAACAGAACAAGTCTCCGTCGTACAGAGCAGGAAACAATCGGCGAGTTTAATCGCACTCTTCGCCTACCCGGTGAGGACGACAGTCCAGTCGAAGAACCGTCGCCTATAATTGAGGAAATCCTGCCACGTCCGCGTCGAAACACTGCGCCGGCCTCAAAAACTGCATCAAAATCTACGCGTGGTGTCCAAACCATCGCACCTACAAGTAAGAGAGGCACAGTGCCGGCATCTCACAGCTTTACACCTCCACGGGCACGGACACAGTCGACACCTCAGACAGCATCCCCCGATCGAACTCAGTCAGGTCGGCCAGCAACGCGTCGGTCCTCAGCTCGAAGATCTCCAACAGCTGACGAGCGTCAACCTTCTATTCGGACGTCTCCTGTCCGTCCCTCTTCGGCTCAAGCGTCGATAAATCCTGCACGCCGTCAGTCATCAACTGCAACTTCTACACGTTTATCATCCGCTCGGAGTTCACGTCGATCATCGGCGTTCTCTCCGTCAAATCGAAGTCAATCGGACGCGTGGAGTGATAACTCATCGACGCGAACCCATTCGGCTGCACCAAGAGACCACTTGCCGACACTTCGGGAGTCGGCGTCGATGTCTCCGATAATGGAGTTCATGCCGTCGATCCGAGACTCGATCCAAGCGGATCGGGAGTCTATCCCTGCTCTACGTGAGACGTTTTTTCGCCACTCTGCTACAGACAACGTGCAGTACACTCTAACCACCGACTCAAATCTCATTGGGAAGCGCATCGCCTGGGAGCGTATCCAACTCGGTCGACTGCTGTCTCGTGGAGCTTACGGGGAAGTGTGGGCGTGTCGCTATGCTGGCAAGAAAGTGGCCGTCAAGCGACTGCTCCAGACGAGAACGCACACGTTTCTGGAGACGGAGAAGTTCACAAACGAGATTCAACTTACGGCGAGTCTGAACCATCCGAATATCGTTCGATTCATTGGCGTAACGTGGAGTAGTTTGGAGAATCTGGCCATGGTGGAAGAATATCTTCCTCGAGGAGATCTACAGAACTATCTGAAGCGGAATGGCGACTTGATGACGTGGGCACGAGACAAGATCGACATGGCTATTGGAATCGCACGAGCGATCGATTATCTGCACACTCGACAAGTTATCCACCGCGATCTCAAGGCTCGAAACATCTTGTTGACCAAGAGACTGCAGCCGAAACTGATCGACTTTGGCACGAGTCGCCTTTGGGAGCCTAACGACATGTCGGCCGGGGTAGGAACCCCCTTCTGGACTGCACCAGAAGTGCTCGAGAGCAGCGAGTACACGGAGAAGGCGGATATTTATTCCTTCGGAGTGCTCTTGACTGAGCTGGACACTTGTGAAGCCCCGTACCACGACACTTTGGGGGCGAATGGGGAGAAAAAGAAGCCGTTCCACGTCCTCAAAGACGTCGTGGATGGCACATTGAGACCGAGTCTCTCGACTGGATGTCCTCAGCGAATCTGCAGAGCAGCAGACGCGTGTTTCCAGCACGATCCGACGCTGAGACCGTCAGCGTCGGAGCTCGTGAGGATGCTGGAAGGCTGAAGCGCAGTCCATGCGCTTATACAATCATATACAGGATAGGATAGGTTACACTTAAATCACACAGCACTCGCGGGATGCCTCGTACGTGGCATGTTTTCTTTACTACACTTAGTTCCCTTGCAGCATTTCTACCAGTTGAGCGCCACTAGGTCGGCGAGAAGGGTCGTGTTGACAGCAAAGAACTCCAATACGACGGATTCGAGGCGGGCAATCCTGCTAGAAACTCGGACGTAGCGTCCCTGCCATGACTTCTTGAAGGATGTGGAACGGTTTGGGTTTCTTCCCGTCGGAGCCCGCACAGTCGTGGAACGGAATCTTACACGTGTCCAGTTCGGATAAGACGACTCCGAAAGAGTAAATATCTGCCTGCTCCGAGTATCGTTTGCCCTCGAGAATCTCTGGCGCGGTCCAAAACAGAGTGCCGACACCAGCCGTCATGGTGTTATCCAGCTCACTCCAAAGTCGATTACTTTGGCTTCCCAACGTCTCGTAAGTAAAATATTCTTGGATTTTAGATCACGATGGATAATCGGAGGAGAGTAGCCGTGGAGATACATGTACTCCAGCGCTCGAGCTACACCGACAGCCAAGTGGATTTTGTCTCTTGCCCACGTCAAAAGATCCGCGTTTCTCTTGAGATATTTCTGCAGATCTCCAAGTGGGAAATATTCGATGACCATTGTCAAATTATGGAGACTGCCCCACGCGACGCCGATGAAAGCGCCAATATTTGGATGTTCCAAATGCGCATTTAGCTCAATCTCCAGAGCGAATTCATGCACGTCTTCAGCTTTGTTCTCCTTGGTCTGTAGCAGTCGCTTGGCTGCGACTTTCTGCCCTGCGTATTCACAGACCCACACTTCCCCAGACGCTCCTTTGGACAGCGCATTCTCGAAGCTTAAATGCTCCGGTGGGATGCGCTTTCCGATGAGATATTCGCTCGTCAGGAGCACTTTTAACGTGGTGTTCGACCCTCCAGACGCGAATTCTGCGCCGTATCCTGCTGGAAACTGAATCGTCTGGTCGGCACCCGAGTACGTGGCAGTGGCCATCAAGTCTTCGCTGACTGCGACTGTCGGTCGAGGGATCGTATCTCGCTGATTGAGGCGTTTAGCTGAAGGAGCGGCCACGTAGGGTGCCTCACCAGTTGTGGTCGCGTCGTATTCGCTCCGAGCTTTTTGCTGTCGCTTCTTCTTGCAGTAAAACATCAGTCCGATCAACGCGAATATCACCAAAGCTCCCAGAATAATGGGGAGCAAAAGAAGCTTGTTAAACCCGCTGGAATCCGTCCCCGCCGCGTCCTTGTAGTCCGTCACCAGCCACTCCGAGACCCACTGAGACCCCGTGACGTTCTTCATCTGCTTTTCGTTCTCCGCCGTGATGTTGTCGGTCGTCCAGCACGGGAACACCAACGATCCGTAGCCTCCATTCATGGTGCTGGTCGGACAGGCCTCCCAGCCCGGTTCGTTCTCCGATGTCACGGTATGCAGAGCCATGATCTCATATTTAGCACCTTGGTCGTCCCACTGGTGTTTGATCATACGAAGCGTCGGAGCTGACTCGGAATTGCCTCCGATGCTCCACATGGCTGCGTGGTACGAGCCGTCCGAGGCGAAATCCTCGACGATGCACTTGGCGGCGTTGTTCATCTGAGCCCCGTTGCAGTGCCATGGTCGTGTCGTCCGGTTCCGTGCAGTTCTTAGGCTCACAACCGGCATTTTTGTACTCGTCAAGAGTAAGTGCCAACGAGGACATCGTGTGGTCCCCCAACGTCCAGACCTGAACGGCGTCGTAGTTGGGGTTGATGGCAAAACCGGAATCCCATAGTAATGCCAACTGAGCGAGGCCCGGCAATTGGCTCCAGTCGAGCCTTAGGTCGTCGAGGCGATTCTGCACGGTGTCGGGTACGGAATTGAGTCTGACCAGGACGGATTCGTTGGCTTTGGCGCGATAGTATAACTGTCGACTAAGGTCGGAACTTGATCCGTCCAAGGCGATGGAGTCAGCCGAACCCGCCATGGTCAGAACTGATTAGGAGAAGTAATAGCCGACACGGCCGATATTCAGGAATGGAAAATCCGTGGCCGAGCGTCTCCGTTGGGGCGATTGAGGCGTTTTGGGTTCAGAGGGAACATGTGAGGTGTACACGACGAACCCATACGGTCCACAAGCGGAAGAGTGCCATTGTCAAGTTGACAATGTCATCATAGCAACCCTTGGGCTTGTGCTCTATCTCTACTACACTGTAGAGATTCTCTAGAAGTGTTTTCTTTTTGGTGCGGGGCGTATCGAGGACCTTGACACGGGAATTACCCTCCAGTTGGCATGTTGAAGTGGGCGAATGTTCGTCGTGTCCACGGAAGCGTCCATCGCTGTAAATCTGACGAAGTGACAGTTGAAGTTTCCTTCTGTCGTGTACACTGTCAGAAATTCTAGCAGAATATCTCGAGGCGGCTCTGCCGACGGCACTCAGCAATCCATGTACAGTACACGGACGATAGGTTCTGGTGTTCGCAGTGCAACAGCGATGACGGCCAAATTTCCGCTAAAGATACGACGTGGTACCTGGTGTTCGATCACTGACCTCGTGATCTAGTGGCGAGGAGTCCGCGATCGACCTCGCTCAGATCAAGACGGAGGATGCACTTGACGTTTCCCCACTCAGGCATGGGTCGATTGCATCAACCGCTGTCAGACGTTGGTCTAGTCGCGGTCGGGTCCGCGCGAATTCCCGTGCGGTTCGCGCCTGGGGGTCGCGAACGAGTCCCCGTCAGTCGTGAAAAAGATCTCCCATGCGGACTAGAGCTCTCGCCTCGCTGCTTCCAGTGCTCAGTCATGTCAATGCAAGTGTCTTGCGTCGGCAGTTGCTCAGCTCGGAAGCTTCGGCGTCCATGGATCGACCGCTCGAGGTGACGGAACGCGGACGACGTCGATTCGACCTTTGGCTGGTCCTTCCACTGACTTTTGGCTTCCTGGTCATCGTCACTTTGGTCTGGATCGGACTGTGCTATCGTCGGCATCGACATCGCAGTGCAGAACTAATGGTGACGTCTCCTGTGCTGGATCTACCCAGGTCCGAGCCGTACGAGTCCTACCAGGAGCAGCCGAAATCGGCCCCTTCAAGTGAGGGTTGGCACACGCTGTCACTCGATACAAACGCGAAGCCATTTGGTCTTGACCAAACCTTTCGAGTCCCACCGAGAAGTGACGAGATGATAACTCCCATGCCAACATTACTAGAGTCTCCACCTCTGATGGGGAAGCGGATCCCGATCCAGAGTCTCGTCTTCAAGACGACGTTGTCTACTGGCGCTTCGGGTGAAGTGTGGCTCGCTCAGCTCAAAGGCCAGCGCGTTGCTGTCAAGCAGCTACTCCAGACGAACGAGCGTACTCTGAAGGACGTTAAAGACTTTGTAGACGAGATCAGACTGAGTGCGAGTTTGGGCCACCAACACGTTGTATCATTTATCGGAGTGGCCTGGAGCAGAGTCGACAACGTGGCGATGGTGATGGAGTTCTGTCCGATGGGCGACTTGAGACGGTTCTTGGCTGAGAGCGGACGGTGGCTGTCCTGGTCCCGAGACAAGATCCGCATGGCGATAGGAATTGCGCAAGCTCTTCGATACCTTCACGAGCGAGAGCCACCGATTATTCACAGAGATCTCAAGTCCAAGAACATTTTACTCACCGACACTTTAGAGGCGAAGATCAGCGACTTTGGCGTGAGTCGATCTCGAAAAGATGGCTTCATGACGGCTGGGGTCGGTACGCCCTACTGGATCGCACCGGAGATTCTTGAAGGCAAACGGTACACTGAACAAGCGGATATTTACTCGTTCGGAGTGGTTTTATCCGAGCTGGACACGTGCAAGATGCCGTTCTCTGACGTCGTTACGGCAGAGGGAAAGAAACCCAAACCAGTTCAGATCCTGCACTGGGTTCTGGATGGAAGATTGAGTCCAACTTTCTCCGACAAATGTCCGAGTCGGTTGGAACGCAATGTTTGCAGCATGATCCGAAGCTGCGGCCGACTGCAGCCGAGCTAACTCAAGTGCTGCGGACGGATGTTCGTCACAGAATTTACACGCTTTGATGGCTGCTATGATACATGATATGTCATCGCGCGAAGACACTATGGCTCACAGTGTCTTCAGTCCATACTGTACAGTCCTGATCATGATGACACTGACCGACAGCGAAATGTGCTGAGTGAAAGTACATCGGTATTAATTAAAATACATGTAAATAACGATAAAATAAGACTCAACGGCCGGGAACTCATTAAAGGTGGTGGTAGCTAATTTTCTTGCGAGTCTCTCTAAATCCATAACATATTCGGCTGATGCGGTAAAGCCCGATCGATTCATCCAGTTGCTACTCTCGTCGGTGCCACATAACTGCTCCAGATGATGGAGATCCATCTGTGCAAACTCCCCTAGAGTCGCCATCACGACTCGATTCTCCTGCCCGCATGGTGCGCATTCTTAGAATCCCAGACTGACTCGCAGTCATGCGCGTGTCTGGTCTCCTTTCAATTCTTGCAGCCACTTTGACCACGGCCCAAGACTACACGATCACCTTTCGAAGCCTGGAAGAGCAGGACCCTGGATCGTCATCGTTACCTTCAGACTCCTCGTTCGACTTCGATGGTACCAACTCAGACATTGCGCGACAGCTTTACACCCGTCATCGATCTGGCGATACCAGCGCCGCAGTCTCCATCAAGTCCGTTCCGACTGCAGTGACCGACAGACTCGACTCGTTAAAGATAGCGTTCACTCATTTGCCGGGACTGGTTCAGCTTGCGGTTCTATGGGATACAGGCTTCGGCATCTCTCCTAATGGTGACCCCGTGCAAATCTGGACCACAGGAGACTTTACCATGGCAGACATCGCCGTATCTCCAGACGATATCACTAACGTGAACTGCACGATGTTAGAATGCCCTCAACCAAACGATACGCCAGCTTACTCAAGTCAATATTGTTCTGGAACTCAGATCCTCAACGTTTCTCGATGCATAGTCGACACGTTCGAGGACTCTGGAGCGAAAGATTTCTTAGGAATAATGTGGTCTACAGGTGGAGACGCGACTATGACTCCCCACATCCGACTGAGAGATCATACGTGGACGGAGCCCACGACGGGGGTTTCCTACAGTGTCTACGCTGTTCATACGGTTTCTAGCGCCGACGATCCGACGTGGAACCAATGTCCGGTTAACAATGGCTACTCTTCGTTGATTGTTCCGTGCCACAAGAGAAGCGAGTTCAGTGATGCTGAAATGGCTGCAGTGAACAAGCCCAAAGGAAGCGAGTGGGTGACGATGTGGCTGAAAGACGAATTCGCTGTCGGGGACTCATCAGGATTCGATGAGCTCTTGTTGATTCCTATTCTTCTCGTGGTGGCTGCTGCAATGGGGATGGGCTGGTTCTGCTGGAAACGGCATGCGATGCTGAAGAGAGAGCAGTCTTCTTCTTGTTGCGATTTTGACGTGGTTTCTCCAAACTACTTGGGTGTAGTAGCACACGAGCAAGCTCGTCGAGGGACGGTGGCGACGACAAGCTACGGGCCGTCCATTTCTAGTCACCAAGGCGACTACGAGAGTGCAGGCTCCAACCAAACGTTCAAGATCTTGCTGCATAGTCAGCACCTTCTTGGAAATCGAATCCCGTACGAAAGTCTCTCGTTCCAGATGGAATTATCCAAAGGAGCTTCAGGAGAAGCTTGGATTTGCCAATACGGAGGCCAACCGGTTGCAGTCAAGAAGCTACTGCACACTAAAGACCAGAAGGCAGACGACGTGCAAGCGTTCGCAGAAGAGATTGAGTTGACGGCCAGTCTGATTCATCCTCACATTGTCAAGTTCATTGGCGTGGCTTGGAATAGTCTCAGCAACTTGTCAATGGTGCTGGAATTTGTGTCGGAAGGAGATCTCCAGGGCTTTTTGCACAAAAACTCCGATGTCTTGTCGTGGGCGGGAGATCGAATCTACATGGCTGTCGCCGTGGCCGAAGCGCTGGAGTATCTGCACTCTCGAAGCCCCGCAATTATCCATCGGGATCTCAAGTCGAACAATATCCTTTTAACGGAAGATCTCGACCCGAAACTCATCGACTTTGGAGTAAGTCGCGGCGTGATGGATCTCACGATGACAGCGGGTGTGGGTACTCCGTACTGGACGGCGCCAGAGGTTCTGGAGGGAGCTCGATACTCTGAGGAGGCAGATATCTACTCGTTCGGGGTGGTCTTGTCGGAGCTCGACACGGGACGGATCCCGTACTTTGACACAGTGGACCACGATGGAGCAAAGTTAATGCCCTTCCAAATCCTACAAGAAGTCATGGCTGGCACGTTGCGACCAAGTTTCTCGGTAGATTGCCCGCCCAGAATTCAGCGAATTGCTGCAGCGTGCCTCTCGTTCGACCCTTCCGACCGACCAACAGCGCAAGAGTTAATCCAGTGGCTTGAAGGTTGACATAGTGACCAACATGCAGATTTATTGTAAATACATGGTGGATATTTAGCAGCCCTTCAGCAATATGCTCCAATAATGCTGCATCAGTCGTCATCTGACAGACGAGATGGGTTATTAGATCGCTGATATCCCGAGATCCCAAGCGTCATCAGTCGCCGTCCCTTAGTCCAAGATTTGACTCAGACCACTCAACTGGTCGGTGATACCAACTTGGTATGACCGATCACGACACGATAACTCTGCGGAGTTTGACGTCCGTTTCGTCTTCGTCATCCTCCGGCTCGTCATATGTTTTCGACGGCACCAACTCGGACATTGCACAGCAGCTTTTCCTCCGCCACCGAGCTGGTGAAATTGGTAAACAAGTCAATCTCACTTCTGTCCCTGCTGCTGTTTCCGACCGACTGGATGCGCTCAATATCGACTTCGACGACCTCCCTGGTCTCGTTCAACTCGCTGTGCTCTGGGATTCAGGCTTTGTCATTTCCCCTGATTATGATCCGATTCAGATCTGGACCATGGGGAACTACACGATGGCAGACCTGGCAGTACCGAAAGCCGACGTCTCGTACGTGGACTGCACGTACCTCAACTGCTCTCAACCAAATGGCGTGACGGCGCACTACGCACAGTACTGTACTGGGTGGCAAATGCTCAACGTGTCTCGATGTGTGACCGACAACTTTGTAGATCCGGGGGCAGATACTTATCTAGGGATGATGTGGTCCACGGGAGGGGACCCCACAATGACCCCGTCCATTCGACTGAGAGATCACAAATGGGAGCAGGATATTCCCGAATTCGGAGGCCTTATTACGTTCCATGTGTACGTCGTCCACACAGTGCCACATGACCTTGATCCGGCTTGGAACGAGTGTCCACTGGACGAAGGATACGCGTCACTGACAGTACCTTGCCACCGAAGAATCGAGTTCACGGACGACTACATGGCTGACAATACGACCGTCCCAACTGGATCGGCGTTCGTGACGACGTGGTTGAAACAGGAGTTTGCTCAGGAGGACTCTCCGTCGCAGCTGTTGATCCCAGTCATCTTGGGTGTAGCCATTGCTGTAGCTGGGATGGCTCTGGGGTGGCTCAGCTGTAGACGAAAGTTAGAGGCCTCAATGAAGCAAAAATCAGGAATCGAACACGAAAGACGCTCGCAACGTTCAAGTGGGAGCTCCCAGGAGAGACGAGCCATTTCTATCTCCAGTCCACAGCAACGTCGAGATTCAGCAATCCAGAGTCTTTACTGCGAGAGAGCGGGGTCGAACAAAACTCTACAGATACTGCTGGATAGTGAACACCTCGAGGGCAAACGCATACCCTTCGACTCGATCGTGTTTGAGAGGGTTATTTCTAAGGGGAAGTGTGGGTTTGTGAGTTCAATCGACAGAAAGCGGCGGTGAAGCGTCTACTGCAGAGGAAGAAACAGAAAGCGGAAAGTGTTCAGAAATTTGCCTTGGAGATCGAACTCACTGCCAGCCTCATTCATCCGAATATCGTCCAGTTTATCGGTGTGCCCTAGAATAGTCTTGACAATGGAGTGATTGTGTCAGAGAAATTATCATCGCTAACTCCACAAAAATTTCTATATGTGCGCGGGGGATTTATGGTGGACTAGAGATAAAATCTACATTGCCATTGGAATCGCTCGTGCCTTGCAGTATCTGCACGCCCGTACGCCGGCTCTGATTCACAGAGATATCAAGTCCAGCAACGTTTTACTCACAGATTCAATCGAGCCAAAGATCATCGACTTTGGCGTAAGTCGTGGTCTTGTCGAGCTCTCAATGACTGTAGGTGTAGGCACGCCGTTCTGGACAGCACCTGAAATCTTGGAAGGTAATCATTACACGGAGAAGGCGGACATGTACTCGTTCGGTGTCGTGTTGTCCGAGCTTGACACTGGAAAGGTTACCTACCACGATGCCGTGACGGAAGATGGAACCAAACTGAAGCCGGTCCAGATACTAAAGGAAGTCATGTCGGGCACGATGCGACCAAGTTTCTCCGATGAATGTCCACCTAGAATTCGAAGAATAGGAACCGCCTGTCTATCTCTTGACCCTTCCAGTCGTCCGACAGCACACGAACTCGTTCGGCAACTCGAAGGCAGGGATAGCGAAGAAGAAGAAGAAGAGGGGGCTAGAACACTTTAAAACATCAATTTATCGCGCTCATTTTGTGGATGTCTAAAGCATTATGAGGTGTTCATTCTGCTTTCCAGATAGAAGCTTGACCACGCCATTCTCAAAGCCAGGGAACTTGACGAGACTTGCCGTGGGGGACAACCATGCAGCCGTATCAGGGAAATGCTTAATCACATGATCAAACAGCAGTCGCACGTCGTGTAGCGACAATGACTCTGTCTGCAGCTTCTTGTTCACACTTTCCAGCTTTTTGAGATCCTCATGCAAGGCCTTCAACGTGACATTGTCACGCGCAGTGGGAATCACGTCTGCAAGCGTGTCATCGTCAACATGCTCTAGAACTCCGTTGATCTTGAAGTACCTTCAATCAATGAAAAGGTACTGCTCCATCGTGTTGTATTGCGGAAGACTGGCATCAGCACACCTAGCTCACGAAGCTGGTGTCGGTTCTTAATAGTGTTCAGCTTCGTCATCAGCAAGTGCAACTTATCCAAGACCTCCGAATGTTCCCGAAGGGCTGCTTGCATAGCCAGATTGAACCGGTGAGAGGCGCAGCCGATCATCGGGACTCGAGCCTTTCTCGCCACAGCTACATTGACCGACGCATGGTCGCAGACGAAGAAGCAGAGTTGAGACGCGTCGATAGCATAGGTGTCCCAGTACATCGTCGAGAAGATCAATGATCGAGTTGGAACTCATATTCGACTCTTCCGCCAGCGTCGACGAGCCCAGCAGAAACTTGTCCTCGGGCGTCCAAGCGATGCCACCATAAAAATGCGTGCCGTCTCCCGTCCAGGCATCGATACGGAAGCCAACTTGCTTTCCGCACAGCTGCGACTTGATGCGTTCTTCCCCAAGCTTTTCAACTCCGCCCATGTGCTTTTTCAGCGACTTCCCGCTGACGGGCTTGAGGTTCGTTTCTTTCCTGGTCTTCTTTTTTTCGCACATGCTCAGCTCCCGATTTTCCATGATGATCCAGTCGTGCCAATGGTACATCGTGAGGGAAAAGTCGTCTGTCTTGAGGAAGACGTCCAGGCTACCCTCTCGTCGCGGAACAGCCCGAAACTCGTCCTCGTACGTCCCTCCATGCCGGCGGGGGGGGGGGGGGTCGTGTCTCCTCGATTCCCGCTATTAACTCCCAGAGGTTTTTGAAATCTAAGTCGTAAGTGTTACGACATTGTGAACAA